GCAATGGTGGGTAAGACAAGAGCAGAATGGAAACTTCCTTGCCCTGACCATGTCCCCACAGTCTCAGCTTGCCATCTGTGCCCCGGGTAGCCGGTCACTTACAAGGCACAACAAACCTGCACCAAGTCGGTTCAAAACAGTCCTCTCTCTCTCCAGGATTTTCCACTTTTTAAAGAATTTGTCATATTTGATGTGTGTGTATGTATGTCAGTCTCTCTATTTTCTTTGTTTCTAGATAGACTTATTTTGGCAAAAGAAAACTTTTGCATAACATGCTATGTAACAGGAACCTATACCTGAACGATGTAATTAGCTCTAAAATGAAAATGTGGATAAGATTATGTCTAAAGTCCTTTCTAGTCCTAGACATTTATATGATTTTATGGCGTGAAGTTAGACATTTTAGGACAGAGGGGAGAGTTGCACATGGAAAAACAGAATAGTTTAATGAAAGAACACAGCCTTTGCAAACTTCAGTCTGACTAATGACCTGAGTGGCCTTAGGCAAGTTACTAACATTTACCCTCCCAGAACTTAAGTTTTCTTGATTCTGAAGGAGAATAATATGTATTATCATAGGGTTTAAGGGAGAATTAGATGAAATATATGCAAAATGTATAATAACTCCAAAAAGTGATTAACTATGATTAATAGTCACTAAAAATGATTTAAACTCATATTTTTACCAGGATTTGCTTTAGAGAGTTATGATATATACGTCCCACACCACATTTTTTGTTGGTTTACCCCAGAACAACTTTAATTCCAGGAACATGCAAACTGTAGCACTGATATCATGTCCAGTTTAGCTGCCTGGCAGGTCTATTCTTCCAAATAATACACACAGACATTTAGATACAAGGATCAATTAGGATATGTTCATCTGCTGTCACTTGAGTTTTCCAATTTTAATTCACACTCCTCTGTTTATGATATGCCAATTAATTTCAGGGAGTTCCAGAAAGAAATTTAAAGCAGGCGATGGTGTCTTTCAAAGTATGGAAATCCAGCTTTACAAAGAGCTTAGTGACACATGCACACCCAAAATCACAAAATGAATGAGGAAAAACAAAGTCCTTGAAAATTAAAAAC